ACAGCCCCAGCCCCTGCACAACATTTTCTAAGATTTATTTATTTATATGAGTACTTTGCATGTATATCTACAGACCAGAAGACAGTGTCAGACAGTTGTATGTTGCCATGTGGGTGGTAGGAATTGAACTCAGAACCTTCGGAAGAGCAGTGAGTGTTCTTAACCACTGAGCCATCTCTCCAGCCCCTCTACAGCATTCTTTTTTTTTTTTTCTTTTTGTTTTTCGAGACAGGGTTTCTCTGTGGCTTTGGAGGCTGTCCTGGAACTAGCTCTTGTAGACCAGGCTGGTCTCGAACTCACAGAGATCCACCTGCCTCTGCCTCCCGAGTGCTGGGATTAAAGGCGTGCGCTACCAACGCCCGGCCCTCTACAGCATTCTTGACATGGTAAAACTGTGCTGATGCTGCCCGGTGGGGCTTGATGGGGGAACAAGTGGAGGATGCAGAGGGGAGAGGGCATGATGTGGGTTAATAAAAATTGCAGGAAGTTGTGGCTTTGACCTTTCCTCCTGCTCAAACCAAGCTAAAAATCAAAATGGAGTCAGTCAAGCTAAGGTTCCACATCTCTGAGCTAAAATTAAGCTGTTTGTCAGACCTTCCCAGAAATGGGGATTGGCAATAACAACCTAAGTTTCCGAACAGGCAGGTTTCCCTGGGAAATTATGAGAGAGATTGCTCGGCTTTAATCCTCACACAAAAGAGCCTGCAACAGCAGGATGTTTGATCATCAGGCATCTTCCTATGCTGCTTCCTGGTCCCTGCTGTACAAGGGGAGGAATTGGGAAATAACTGCACATGTGTGTGGTGTGTATGTGTGGTGTCTGTGTGTATCTGTCTGTGTGTTTGAGTATATGCATGCTTGTATACGTGTCTATGCACATTCATGTATTTGTGTGTGTATGCATGTATGTATGTATGTGTGGAGGCCAGAGGTCCATGTCTGGAGGTCTGTAATCACTCTCCACCTTATGTTTTAAGACAGAGTCTCTCACTGACCCAGGAGCTCATCCATCCCTCCAGTCTGGCTGCCCAGTGAGCTCCAGGGATCCTCCTGTCTGCCCTCCCGAGCCCCTCCCATCTGTTTCTGCTCAAGCTTTCTCATGCCTCCCTCCTCTGTGAAGCCACCCTCCTTTGTTCCAACTATTGGAACATTTATTCTGTTTTATGGAATAAAGTGTTCCCTGATTCTATAATTCCAAATAAGTGTATGTGGGGGGTGCGTGGATTCTACAATTCCAAATAAGTAGAGGGGGTGCTGGGGAGCTTGTTTCCTCAGAGGAATGCTTTCTGTGTGTGCATGGTAACTTGGGCTTACAGCATAGCACCTACCCAGATAGCCAGGCATAACATTGAGCTCCTGTAATCCCAGCACTAGGTAGGCAGAGACAGAAGGAACAGTGACAGGCCCTGTCTCAAAAGAGGGGGTGGGGGGACAATGAGATGGTTCAGCCAGTAGGGGCACGTGCCACCAAGCCTGATGACCTAAGTTCAATTCTTGCCTCACCCCAACCCACATGGTGGAGTGACAGAACCAGCTCAAGTTGACCCTTGACCTCCACAAACACACTGTGACTTGACCCACAAACTACACAGTAAAAAATAAATGTTTGGGCGGGATAGTGGTGGCACCTGCCTTTAATCCCAGCACTCAGGGGGCAGAATCTCTGAGTTTGAAGCCCTTCTGGTCTACAGAGTTAGTTCCAGGACAGCCAGGACTACAAAGAGAAACCCTGTCTTGAAAAACCAAACAACAGCAATAATAACAACAATAATAAATGTTTAAAGATAAAAAAATATCAGCCAAGGATACACAGAGAAACCCATCTCAAAAAAAAAAAACTAACCAAATATATTAATGAATAAAAAAATATTAAAAAGGTGGATGGTGCCTGAGGAATGACATTGAGGTTGTCCTCTGGCCTCCATACATACATCGCATGCGCCCCTGTGAGCGCGCGCGCGCGCGCGCTCACACACACACACACACACACACACACACACACACACACACACACCCATATCTAAGATCATCCTCAGCTATTCTGAGGTCAGCCTGGGATACATAAAACCCTATGTCAAAACAAAACAACAAGAAACTGACATTGATGATGGGAGCAAACTGGAAGTGCACCTCTGTGCACCTCTGTGCACCTCTGTGCATCTCCGAGGCTCTTATGTTTAGTTTTCAGGACCCAGGGAACCATCCCATCCTCACTTACAGTGACACAAAGCCTACATGGGATACTAGGGCTGTGAATGAGAAGCCAAATGAATCTCTCTCTCCCTCCCTCTCCCTCCCCTGCCTCTCTCTGTACTCTCACTGAGCTACACCCCCAGGCCCCAGTTTTTAGTACTTTTCCTTTTGAGACAGGATTTTAGTAAGTTGCTGAGGCTGGCCTAGAACCTGCATTGTGGCTCAGGGTGGGGTGTTTTGTTTGTTTGGTTGGTTGGTTGATTTGGGGGGGTGTGTTTTGTTTTTGCTTTTTTAGACAAGGCCTTGCAATGTAGCCCAGGTTGGCTTTGAACTCTCCATCTTTCTGCCTCAGTTTCCTGTGTGCCTGGTTTACAGATGTGCACCACCATAGCAGAGCAAGCACCACCATAGTATGGTTTTGAGGCCGGTATGTACCCTAGGCAGATTACAAACAGACCCATGAGTCTCATGGATCTTGCCTTACTTGTGGTAGCTATACAGCTTTACACATTTGCCACAGCCCATGAAAACATGTGTGAAAAAAGGGGTGAATTTTAGGAGGTAGAAATTACACCTCCATTTTTTTAATTAAGAAAAATGAGATCATGTTTCTTGCTGAAGCTTGGCATCAGGTTACACGAAAAGATAATGTGGGTAATTTAATGCAAAATGCTCAAAGAGAAAATGCAGGTTATTTTAGATCTGTTTTTTAAAAATATCCTCTAACAAAATTCCTTAGGAGTCGTTTTAAGCAATGAAGGCATTACAAGTAAGTACAGGCTGGCACAGGACTGGAATCCTGATGCTAGAGGGGCTGAGAAAGGATTGCAAACCTGAGGCTAGCCTGGGCTACACAGTGAGACCTTAATTTAAACAAATAAACCGATTGAACTGAGCAAGAGAGCAGTCTTAGTTAGGGTTACTATTCCTGTGATGAAACAGCTTGACCCAAAGCAGCTTGGGAAGGAAAGGGTTTATTCACTCACAGTTCCCCAGCATCAAAAGCAACTAGAGCAGGAACTCAAGCAGTGAAGGATCCTGGAGGCAGGAGCTAATGCAGAGGCCATGGAGGGGTGCTGCTTACTGGCTTGCTTCCCATGGCTTGCTCTGCATGCTTTTTATAGAACCCAGGACCACTAGCCCGGGAATGGCACCACCCACAATGGACTGGATCCTCTTCCATCAATCACTAATTAAGAAAATGTCCTATAGGCTTCCTACAGCTGGATCTGAGAGAAGCATTTTCTCAGTTGAGGTTCCCTCCTCTCAGGTGACTCTAGCTTGTGTCAAATTGAAATAAATCTAGCTAGCACACCTGTAATCCTAGCATTGGGAGGTGGGAGGTTAATCCCCAGGTCCCATGCAGTTAAAGAGAGAAACAAGTCTCTCAAGTTGTACTTACACACCCACACCCACCCCCCTCACACACAGGCATGCGTGCACGCACAAGCACACACACACACACACACACACACACACACACACTAATTTATTTATTGTTTTTGGAGCAGGATTTCTCTGTGTAGACCAGGCTGTCCTTGAACTCACAAAGATCCACCTGCCTCTGCCTCCCAAGTGCTGGTATTAAAGGCATGAGCCACCATGCCTGGCAATAAAACAATTTAAAAGGCAAACAAAAGAAATATATTCATTTGAGAGGGAAAATTATAGGAAGCTAATGCAGGAGAATTACCATGGGTTAGAGACCAGCCTCTGCTACATAGTTATGTGCATATGGTACAGAGTAAGACCCTGTCTCAAAGAAACTCTGTCTTGAAAAGCAAAAACAAAACTAAAATAAAAAATAGAGATTAAAAAAAAAAACAGGCGTGGTGCCTCATGTCTATAATCCCAGCACTTTGGAGGCTGAGGCAGCATGATTTCTGTGAGTTCAAGGCCAACCTGGGCCACAAAGTGAGACCCTGTCTCAAGGAAGTACAGAACGGAGGGGGGGAGGAGAGAGAGATTTGAACAGTCTGAAGCAGGTGACCAATTACTGCTTGCAGCTTCTGGTTGAATGTGCTGTGGACATTTTTTGCTGAGTCCTTCCCCCAGGTTAAATGTTACACTATACAATGGAAGGCTTAGCATCCTGTCTGACCAGAGTAATTACTTAGACAGCCTTTGCCTCCTCCACCATTCAAGTACAAATCACCAGTTACTTCCCAAGGCAACTCTCTTCAGAGCAGCACTTTCCCCAGACCAGCCTGGGGCTCTGTGAGGCATGATAAGGATAGCCCCATCACCAGCATGGGCATGGAGACTCAAAGGGCTGGAGCCCCTTCTCAGCAGTTTTCCCCAGAGTGACTGACAATACACAGGCTGAGCAAACAGTAGGCACTCAATAATTACTCTTTTGGGGGGCACAGTACCAGAGATAAAACCCAGGGCCTTTCATATGCCCTGGGTGAAAGCTGCAGCCCTGAGCTCCAGTCCACCCCTGATTATTCTCTGTTGTGCATGAATGAACATACTTTTGCATGAGGATGCCGGACTCTACCCAGCCAAGAAGAGGCTTGGCCAGACAAGGGCTTCCCAGAAAAGGAAATATTGACCCAAGAGCCATGTCCTGTCCACTGCATCCAAATTTAGATAGGGGATAGCCGTCCCCTCCCTTCCTGGTTGCTGTCTGTCCCTATCAGGGGTGGGTCCTAGGCTGCAGCCTGGCAACAGAATGTTGCGCTGTTGGCTGCCCAGGCAACCAGGGCTCACTCAGCCTTGGGTTTCTGGGAGTTCCAGGCAGGGGCAGCACTCTCCATCCAAGGCCCTCAGCTTGTACTAAGGTGGCTGGAGACACCTGTAGGCGAATGGCAGTGGCATGGGAGGAGTATTTCCGACTGGCCTTCCAAGAGAAAGCGCCTACGTGAGTGGTGCCAGGAGCGGGTGGATGGGGTGAGAAGGAGGGGGAGCAAAAGAGAGCCCATTCCTTTTCCTGGAGTTTCTGCTTCCTTTGGGCAGTCTTGGGGTGAGCTGGCCAGTAGCCCAGACTCTGGGCTATTGGGATGGCTAACTTGCTCTTGCCCCAGCCTTGGCCAGTATCTCAGAGATGAAATCCTTGAACCACAGTGGAGAGGAATTTTCCTGGGAGCTGCTGTGCAGTGGAGAAGCTGTATTTTAAGGACATCAGCTCTGTAATGCATTGTTTGGGGGCGGTGGAACACCCTGGCCCCAACAGTCTCAGTATCTGTAAAATTGGGAGGAGTAGACACTTCTGATGCAGAGCTGGGCAAGCCTTGTTGAGAGAGATGTTAGACATTCTTTGACTCCCTCCTGTCCTCCCCGGAGAGCCAGGCTGTCACACTCAGCCTCTCCTGGACCACTGCCCACAGAGGAATGCCTCCACTCGGTGTGTTCAGAGCAAGGACCTGTCTCTACCACCCACATGCTCAGCCTATAGTCATCCCTCAAAGTGACATCCAGTTATAGAGGTCACCTTTAATCCTCTCTCACCCTGTCCTGATCCATCCTTACCTCCCCACACTGATCAGAGTGGCATTCTTCCCGGAGTCCCTAAGCCCCACCACTGAGGTCTCCAGCTCCTCACAGCAATCACAGGGTTTTCTGTCCCACTCAAAACTTGCCCATGTCTCCCATCTCACTAAGGGTCATTGCCGAAGGTTTCTTTCCTCACAGCCTGCCAGTCTGGCCCTGCACATCTCTGATTTTCGCTTCTACCTGTCATCTCCTCTCTCCAGTCACACTTTATGGCTCCTTCAACATACCTAGCTGTTTTTCTGGGAGCCTGGGTCTTTCTCAGCTATTCCCTTGGCCTGGAGTCTGTTTCCTGAAGTTGTCAGTGCAGCTCACTCCCTGTGGCTCTGTCCCAGTGTCTTTTGCTCAGAGAGACTTCCTCACTCCATGTTGAAAACTGCCTCTGGTCTACTGAACTTTACACCTCAGGGCCCACTGTGCCTGAGCAGTGCTTGCTATTATTATCCATGTTAGCGGTCTGTGGTTGTCAGGGGAGCACAGCTTCCAGCAACACGGGTTTTTTGTCTGTCTTCTTGATGGCTGCAACTGCTGTGACTAGTACACTGCTTAGTATAGGACAAGTGGTCAGCAAACTTGTGAACAATTTTTTTCTTTTGGAGACAGGGTTTCTGTGTAGCCCTGGCTGTCCTGGAACTCCCTCTGTAAATCAGGCCAGCCTCGAATTCACAGAGGTCCGGGGGCCTCGGCCTCCCAAGTGCTGGGATTAAAGGCATGTATGACCACCACCACCCAACTAACTTGTGAACAATTTAAAGACCCAGTAGCAGTAGCCAGTAGGTGTGTCAGTCTCATATCTGTCATTCTAACACTCAAGAGGTAGAGACTTGGGATCAAGAGTTCAAAGCCATCCTCAGCTACAAAGTTAGTTCAAGGCTAACCTGGCCTACATGAGACGTCTTAAAACAAAACCAAACTAACTCAGTAAGTGATGAATGGGGCTATTACAGGCACCCCCAAGGAGTCTGGGGTCCCAGCTCTCCTTCTTGTAACCTTCCCTCTGGGTCCCTCCAGGAAGCCACCAGAGCAGAATGTGGACCACTTTCCACCCCTGCTGCGTCTCCTGGAGAAGAAGCAAGAGCTAGCAGCTGTAGACCAGGGTCTGCAGGCCCAGAAGGAGGTAAACCTCAGTTGTTGAAATTTGGGGGTTTACCAGACACACACTAGTGGTGCCCAATGAGGGTTGCATAGTCTGGGGTGAGTCTACTCTGAGCCCTGATGTCCTTATCTATCAAAGAAAGATCTAGTGAGAACACTTGGTACAGATGCATGTGTGTACATTGAGCACCTGCTGTATGCAGTGCTCTGCACTGGCTGTTGCCCTCCAGTTGACAGTCTGGAGAGGTAATAAGTGTCCAGGTGGGGGGTTGCTGTGTGGGAAGGCACTGGGCAAGGGCTGTTGGATCCTGGGGTGTCATCTACTCCCCCACAAAAACCGGAATTCAAGGACAAAGCTCAGAGGGTCATGGAAGTGGAGAGATGGCTCAGCAGTTAATGCTGGCTGCTCTTACAGAGGATCCAAGTTCAGATCCCTGCACCCACATCAGGAGGCTCATAGCCGCTTGCAACGCCAGGGATCCGACGCCCTCTTCTGGCCTCTGCGGGCACTGTACTCACATGCACACACTCCTCCCCTAAATATACGCAATCTAAAACATATTTTTAAAAACACTTCAGAGGGTCAGGTGGATGAAACATGGAGTGTCTAGAGAAGAGGTGTGAAGAGCTTGGGAGTTAGCATTCAGGGACCACAGGAGGTTGTAGCGTGTAAGTCAGGGGCTGGGAACATTAGGTGACCTGACACACACACACACACACACACACACACACACACACACACACACCTCTAACTGCACCCCACTCCAAGGAGTTCCGCAACACGATGGCCACCCTGAGCCAGCGCTGGGCACAGCTGGAGCAGAAAGAGCAGGCGCTGAAGGAGTCCTTCATCCGCTTTGACAAATTCCTGCAGGTCAGTGAATGTTGAGGTCTGGAGGCGAGGGGGAGGGGTGACAGGGACTCCTTCTTGCCACTCTAGAGTGGCCCCCACCTAGGAAAGTCGCCTGAAGTGGGGGGACCAGATTGCCAGAGGGTGGAGGAAGAGTGAGGACCCCGAATCAAGCTCGTGGATGAACTTAACACAACCTCCTGCAGTCTATGCACGTGGCTTAGAGTGCCATTGTAGCCCCTCAGTGGAGGCAGGAGAGCGCCTCGAGTACTCAGGCTCCCTAATCTTCATCCTCCTCCCAGGATGCCGAGGTACGGCGGCGGGGCCGCGCACAGTGGAGAGCAGCGGAGGAGGGGCACGGAGTGCGACACCAGGAGGCAGAGGCGCTGCGGCTACGCGCACAGCTGTAGGAGCTGCGGCGGGAGCGCGCGCGGCTGCAGCACAGGCTGAGGCGCCTGGAGCCCTGCGCGCGCCTGCTGGAGCGCGTGCTGGAGCAGCTGCCTGAGGTGAGCAGCGCTGGGAGGCTGGGGACCGCTTTGTTCAGGCGCACTAGTCAATGCTGACTGTATACAAGAAACAGCACTTACTGAGTGCTCATTGTCTACCAAGGACATGCTTTGTTCTCCAGACATCCCCTGACTGATCAAGTGAGTCCTGTTATTGTCAACCCCATTTTACAGCTCAAAAAACAGTTGCAGAAAGTGTTAAGCAAGTGTGTGCCTGTGTATGTGTGTGTGAGAGAGAGACACACACAGACAGACAGACACAGAGACAAACAGAAAAAGATGAGAGGACAGAAAATAATGTAAATTTTATTATTTGTGGAAGATTGGGTTTTGGGGGAAAGTTTTTTTTTTTTTTTGTTTTTCGAGACAGGGTTTCTCTGTGTAGCTTTGGAGCCTGTAGACCAGGCTGGCCTCAAACTCAGAGAGATACGCCTGCCTCTGCCTCCTGAGTACTGGGGTTAAAGGCATGTGCCACCAAGGCCAAGCTTGGGTTTTGGGGAAAAATGTGTGTGTTTGGTTGGTTTGTTGAGAGCTGAGATATAACCCAGGCTAGTCTTGAACTCTACATAGCCAAGGCCACCCTTCAATTCTGCCCCAATACTCTCCTCCCCCTTGAAACACACACACACACACACACACACACACACACACACACACACACACACACACGGTTTCTCCATGTAGCCCTGGCTGTCCTGGATCTTACTTTGTAGACCAGGCTGGCCTTGAACTCAGAGATCCGCCTACCTCTGCCTCCTGAGTGCTGGGATTAAAGGCATGCTTCACCACTGCTCCAACCTTCACCTCTTACTACTCTTACCTCACCCTTGTGCTACCATGATGCCTGGCTGGTTTTGTTTTTGTTTTTGTTTCATTTGTTTGAGACAGAGTCCCATTCTGTAGCCCAGGCTATAATATGCAGTCGAGGTCACCTTGAGCTCGAGGCAACCCTCCAGTCAGCCTCAGCTTCTCAAATGCTGGCATTCCAGGAATCAGCCACAAAGTTCATCGAATGAACAAGAAGTGGTGTCAACAAGTTGTGGCGCCTAGCCAGTTTAGCTAGGTTTGATCATGGAAGCAAGAAGGGCATGAACAGGTCTCACTCAAATCCCCATTCAGTGGCTCTTGATAGCCTTGCTTCAGGACCTGAGGTATCAGGACCATGGCACATCTGAACTGAGGATGCTCCCGAGGTGTGTTGGCTAGACAAGAGGGAAGGGCAGTGAGTCCCCTCTCCAGTTTCAGGAGATTCCAGAACTGGTGGCACGCTTCGATGGCCTGGTAGACACACAGGCAGCATTGAAGCTGGCAGAGCGCAAACGACAGGTGGAGTTGGATGAGACCCGTGCTCAGCTGCATCGTCTTCGGGAAGCCAAGCAAGATGAGCTGCTGCATCTGGGCCAGCAGCGTGCACAGCTGCGAGAGCAGCTGGAGGCAGCGCATGAGCGTACACTGCAGTGGGTGCGTGTCCCCGGGACTAGAGAGGACCCACCCGCTGCACTAACCACAGGGCTGGGATACTACATCGCCAAGGGTACCAGAGACAGTGCTTGTTCCCGCCCAGCAGAACACCTATTGGGTGGTGCAGCCTCCCAGACTTGGGCTAAGTCCCAACTCAATGGTGATTTGCGCTTGCGCTTGCGTTCTGCAGGAATCCAAGTGGACTCAAATCCAGAACACTGCGGCGGCTAAGACGCTGCTCCTAGGACGCACTCGGATGTCTGTGCTCAACCTGTATCAGCTTGTGTGCCTGCGCCAGAGTCAGCCTCTAGCCCTGGATGTGGAGGACACAGAGGGGCAGCTAGAAGAGGTGAGGCTCTTTGTGTCACTCCCTACCCAACACCCCATCTTGGAAACCCCACTGTTGGGACACTCTAGGATTAAGGGTCTTTTATAGGTGGTTCCTTCTAATGACCTACTGTGGGGCCAGGAAGCTACATCCAGATGCCAGGATCGTAACCATGACTGCAAGTGGATCTGTGTGCCCTTTGCAGGGTTGGTTAGAGTCACTGAGGCCACTGTTTGCCCACGAGTTGTCCTAGCTCTTGTGATACACATGCCGAATCCAGGAGGGTCCCAGGGTCATGTGAACCAGGCCGTTTTGGGCAGGGTCTCATATAGCCCAGGCTTACCCCAGACTCACTAGGTAGCAGATGACCTTGAACTACACACACCCAGCCTCTATCTCCAGAGTGCTGGGATTGATTACAGGTATGCTGTGCATCTGGGCTGCTGAGTTAGTTCCTTCTCAGTGTACCTCTGCTCTTATGAGGAAGGTTCAGAGGAGGATGCTGGCCCTCCCTTGCCCATACTCCTGGCCAGGAATCAGGCTGCCCAGAGCATCGACAAACTGTCACCTGACCTTCTTTGGCCCTGTGTCCTCAATATTTACCCAGGTGATGGACATGAAGAGGGTCCCACAGTCTGCTGTGAGCTTGCCCTCAGTCCATGGCAGTGGGCCTATGGGTGTCCATTAAATTCACATATGAGCAATTAGCACAAAGGACACCATGGAGATGAGGCCACAAACCAAAAAACAAGCCTGATCCAAGGGAAATGTCACCTGATGTGGGTGGGACACTGAGTTGGCAGGGAGCCAGTTGGAAATCAGCAAAGTGGTTACAAATTATTCAGTGGCTGGGCATGGTGGCACATGCCTTTAATCCCAGCACTCAAGAGGCAGGTGAATCACTGTGAGTTCGAGGCCAGCCTGGTCTACAGAGTGAGTTCCAGGACAGGCAGGGCTATAAAGAGAAATCCTATCTTCAAAAACAAAAACAAGGGCTGGAGAGATGGCTCAGAGGTTAAGAGCAGTGGCTGCTCTTCCAGAGGTCCTGAGTTCAATTCCCAGCAACCACATGGTGGCTCACAACCATCCGTTATGAGATCTACTGCCCTCTTCTGGTGTGCAGATATACATGGAAGCAGAATGTTGTATACTAATAAATAAATAAATAAATAAATAAACATTTCCGTGGCATACACCTGCATTCTCAACACTCAGGAGACTGAGACAAGAGGATTGCCATGAGTTAGAGAACAAGTTTGAGCCATACTTGGCAATAAACAAACCTTTGGGAGGCCATACTGGACACTGTCAGTCCTTCTCCAGTAGAGTTTCCAGGCCCACACTGCCCTCAGCCTCCCCATGTGAGGGCAGGGACTGGAAATGATCTGGCCATGTCACCCCTGTCCCCAGGTGAAGCAGTTCATCCTGAACCTCTCAGCAACACTGACCAGCCTTGCCCAGGACAAGCCCACAGCCACTGCCTCCTAGTCCGGCCAGGAGAGCAGCGAAGGGGACATGAGGGACTGAGTTCTACATTCCTTGGTATGAAGACTCAACACAACGGCTCTCTAAATGCTTCCCCCTGGAAAAGATGGAGCTATGCCAGCTTTTGTTGTTATGAGGCTTCCACAGGACATTCAACTAGTTAGACTGTCAGTGGGGGTTGACAGCTGTACTGGGCCCTTCACCCACCACACAGGCTGGGTACAGGCCTCCCTTCCAGCTGGCTGGGGATATCAGACAAGCTTAGACAGGGCTGGTGTACTCCAAGATGGGCACTCGCTAAGTAAAGTGTGTCTGTTTAAGCAAAAGGTGGCTGTTGGCCTGTGGGGTCTATCTGCTGGGGGATGCTTGACCTTCCCAGAACCTCAAGCAAGAGGTAGGGAAAGCCACCAGTGGGATGGAGGCCATGAAGGTGACGCAGGCCGGATCTCACCTCCACGTACAGAAGGGTAGTGCCACCCTCAGAGCCTGCCTCCACCCTGCAGCAGTACTGAGCTGCCTGGAGCAACCAGATCCCAGAGTCTCATTTTTCTCATCTCAGTAGATAATGGAGAGGTCACCTCACTTCAGTGGCCAGGTGAGACAAAGGCATGGCCACCTGCTTTCAGCTACTATAACAGCTGAGACCTGCAATTCTCCCTTCCAACACCCCAAGAAAACCACACTCCTGGCTACTAGAGATGTTCCACAAAAGTTTACTACAATGAAACCTAACATCTGGTCAGACAGCCAGGGTCCACATACATCCACATGGCCATGACTTCTGAAGCCTGAATTCATGGATAGGGTGACAGCTAAGCTGCAGGCTCAGGACTTGCTCTGCCGAGCTTTGCTGGTAAATGCCTAGGCATCCTTCAAGACCTCACCCAATGTCCCATCAAAAGCAGCCTCCGTTTTCTGTGGCCAGATAGCACTGTTCCTCATAGACACTGGCTCCTGTAGGAGACTCTGCCAACAGCACATGAGAACATGTCAGTGATGTCCAAACCAGGGCTATCAGGAAGCCCCTAGGCTGAGTCTGGCTCCTTACATCCTCTTCCTCATCTTGCCCTTCCTGGAGGGGGCACCCCGGCCAAAGGCACCCTGGCGCAGCTCTTGGGCTCTACGACGGTTTCGTGCTGAAAGCTGCTTCAGGCCTCCGCGCTGCAGGAAGCGCTGCTTCTGGGCCTGACGTCGATGTTTCAGGATCTGTTCCTTGGTCTTAAGTTCTGAGCGCATACGGCCTGTGGGGGCACTGGGTGCTCGGGGCAGGGAGGCACCTGTCAGCACAGAGATTTGGAGAGCTCAGCCTCTGACCCACAGAGCTTGAGCCAGGCTCCATCCCACTGTGGCCAGATCAGAGAGGCCAAACCCAGGGTTACCTGGCATCCTGGCCAGCCCACATTTTCAGAGACAGTATTAACTCCCTAGGTATCACCTGCCCCTTAAGCCAAAGGTGCTGCAGGTGCCAGCTTTGCAGAGGGACTTCCTGAGCGGTGGCTGTCAAAGCCCAGTGTTGCCACCACAGAGACCCCATCCCAACCCCTGTGGAGACTGGTGCTCTGCACTGGAAGTCATCAAGCACCAGCTTCCACCTCTCTAGGTGTGCACACGGCTCCACATGGGAACCATCATCCACCCTGCTACTGGCTACCCCAGGTACCACCTTTTGAGTGGGAGAGGCCAATGACCCTGGTCTGCTGGGTGGGGCTGTGCCACAGAGGCCAGGGCAAGTCCACCACAGGACATGGATGGAGCTTTGCTCATAGGCACAGTCCATAGGTCTGGTCCTAGCCTTGATCATGTTCACCCCTGCACCTCACCACACCTGGCTTTCCCCCTATTCGGACTATACCACCTACCCTGCCCACCTTGACTCCGCCCTCGCTTTCCACCTCTGCGGGGCCCAGGGCCTCGCTGGTTGAATGATCCTTCATCCTCAGAGTCCCGGTCATCAATTTTCTGCTTCTGCTTCCACTTCTGGTAGCTGAGTGCCTCATTAAGGAAGTGAACTGTACCATCTAAGCTGGATGCAGGCCCCTTATAGAGGGCTTCTGGGGGAGCCGGCCAGCCTGGCCCCCAGACACAGCCCCTCCAATAGGAACAGCAGCTGAAAGTCACCCAGCCCTGGCCCCCAGATAAGACCCTCCTATAAGCACAGCAGCTGGAAGCTACCTGGCACTGTCCCTCCACCCCCCTGCAGCCCTGTCTGTCCCTTAGGATACAGGTCACGCTTGTAGGAGCTGCTGATATACCGGCCACTCTCTGTCTTGATTTTCTTCTTGTCCTCCTGGCCTGATTGCCCCACAAACCGCTTCTTCTTCCGGTCCCTGAGGGAGAGGGAGATGGAGTCTACTAGGGGGGAACCTGTTCCATCACCTGCCCCTCACATGTATGTAGCCAGCAAAGGATTAAAGAACGACAGCCAAGTCCCGCTTGTCTGTACTGGACACTCGACCACCTCTCCACCTTTCCAGGTCTCAAAAGGAGAGAGGGGGTTTGGGGACTTGGGGTTTCATCCCCATGCCACTTCCCACACCTCTGTGTTTGGGAAGCTGCATCAGAGTCCTCGTGGGCATAGTAGGTAAGGGACCTGCCAGACACAGTGGACCAGGGATATGAGGCAGACCAAATGGGGACGTAGAAGGCCACACCCAGGGACACAGGGAAGGCCTGGCACACTTGTTGATCACTCACCACTTGAGCTGCTGCCGACCTCGGCTCATGTTCTGCGCCTCATCCCCCATCAGATCAAGGACCGCACCAGCCACCTGCTGCTCAAAGGCCCCTGCGGTCCCACCGATGCTCAGCCTGCAGATTCAAGGGGGAGACTTAAGGGGGCCCAGACCCTTTGTACATACCACAAGCTAGGCCACAAGCTCACACTCACCCCCGCTCACTGTCAAAATCCTTGGGCCGGTAGGGGACATAAAACTCCTGGTCTCGCTGACGAGCCTCCTCCCTCCGCCTCTTGGCTCCTCGGTTGGGTCCTGGCTTTGACCGCTTCTGGCCCACAACCTCTGTGAAGACATCCTGACAGACAGAAGCCCAGTGTCATCCTTGTGACCTCAGGGAGCCCCACTAGAACCAAGGGACCAGAGCTTCCCTTTTTGTCTGCCAGAAGAACTCTCTTGCAAGACCCTGTGTAGTCATCTGCACACACCATAGCCCTGCTTTGGGGAGAAGGACAGGCAGGAGGGGCAGGATGGACACCAGGCAATAATGACACTATGCTCCAGTATCAGCCCTAACCCCACTCGGCCCTAGAGGCTTCTGTACAATAGGACACACACGGGGGTTTGAGGCTGGGCCTTTAGACTAAGGCATTCTGTGCCTCAGTGAGACAGGAGAGATGGAGTGGACGTGTAGGAGGGGGCCACTGCCTTGTGGGTGGGGTACTCCAACACCCCCCAGGCCCACTTTCTGGGGCTTCTCTCTCACCAGGACCTCAGGCCATACTGCTTAGCCAGGCCACAACATCTGGAGAAGAAACTCTGTGTAAGAGGGTGCTGGATCTCCTGGAACTGGAGTTACAGGCAGTTGTGAGCCACCTAATGTGGGTGCTGGGAACTGAACTCCAATCCCCTGCAAGAGTATTAAGGGCTATTTTTTTGTTCTTTTTGAGACAGGGTCTCAGTATGTAGAACTGCTATTTACAGGCTGGCCCTGAGCTCACAGGAGATCCCACAGCCTCTGCCTCCCAAGTGCTGGGATTAAAGGCGTGGGGTGTGTCAGTGCACGAAGCATGGGCTCTTAACTGCTTGACCACTGAGCCAGCTCCTTCCTTTGGTTACCACTCTGTAGTCTAGGTTAGCCTGAGACAGTATCACTCCATAGCCTAGGTTGGCTTTGAACTTGTGGCTGTCCTCCTGCCTTAGTCTCCATACCCCTCTCCTGCAGACTGTAAGCTGAGACTATGCCCCACTTCCACAGACAAGAGACGGGGACATGGGCTGCACCATTGCCTGCCCCCAAGGGCTGCTGGGACCTGATTGTCTCCCCCCACCCCTCCAGCTGCCCCTGCAGCCCACACCTCCACACTCTCAGCCATGTCCTCCTCTCCCTCTTCCTTCTGAGGCAGCTCCTTTTGGGGGACTGGGTCAGCTGGGCTCTCCTGCCTCTCCTGCCGCCCCTGCTGGAAGCTATCGATAGCTTTTTGGTCCCTCTGCCGCTTGGCACGCATCATCTGGCTGCTTGGGTCCCGGCAGGAGGCGTTGATCTCAAAGATGGTCTGTAAAAGGGATGTCATGTTCACTGCCTGCTACCCACCCAGTCCCCAACCCCCCTAAGCCACCTGAGACCTGTACAGGCACCCAAGTCTTCACCATGGGAGGTGGGAACCTTGATATCAGTACTGGGCAATCAGAGGGAGGCCCAGAGAAAGTGGGTGTCCGTGCCCAAGGCCACACTGCTAGGAAAAGCCAGAACCCAGATCTCACACTGAGTGCACTTGGCTTTGAAACCATTGATGTCTGTGTCACTCCCTAGCCATTTTTGCTACTGGCCAGCTGGGTGGGCTCTCCCCGCCTCTGTACAAGAATCCCATAGCATATGCCCACCCATGGATACCCAGGAGAAGTGACTGGGTAGAGAGGCTCAAGGCTGGGGATGGATGGCTCTTCAGGCCTCTGAAAGGCAGACAACACATCACTCCCTTAAGGGAACTGAGTCTGTCTCTAAGTGGTGATCCCTCCCTGGACCTGCTGTGGGTCACAGGAATGCTCCAGAACAAGGGGGAGCAGGTCTATGAGTGGCCAACAGCCAATGTGACATGTCAGGAAGCTGCAAGCTCCGAAGTCGCCCCCACTGTGGCCCGTCCTCCAGCCACTCTGTGAGCACTCACTGTGCGGGTGCGGTAGCTCTTGACGCTGTCCAGCAGCCTCAGGCGCTGCCGTTCCCCCTCCTCAAAGCGGGAGCCTGGAGGGGAAGGAAGTGTGTGAGGCCAGGGTGGGTTGTGAAGGGCCAACCCACCCTTACCTACTCCACCCTGTAGAATCTCACTGAAGAGTGGGTGCAAGCCCAGCCCTGCCAGGTCCAGCTCCTTGGCTCTCTTGATGGACTCAGGTGAGGGCGCTGGACGAGAGCGCACATACTGCTGCTGAGCGTTGTCGGCCACACGGTGCAGGCCCCGAAGGTCCAGTGACGCCTCCAGGGCAGTCTGCAGGCCACTGTCCTCGTCATCCACCACAGTCTGAGGCACCCGACCCAGCACGCCATCCCTGCCAACTGCACCTGCAAGCCACAGGGCACACTGAGTCAGCCTGTGTTTATCTATGCCCCATGGCCTATGAACAGCTCCAGACAAGAGGGACATTTAGAGTGGCATGTTCAATCAGACCCTGGGATGCACAGGAACACAGACAGATCCCAACTCTGGCAAAGACAGCCCAAGAGCAGTCTCAGCACCCAAGGCTGTCCCCACAGACGATTGTGGCTGTCTCCAAGGACATGGTGGGCAGGATCTCCTATGGTCAGACCCAGCAGTCACCTCCCAAAGCCAGACCATTGTACCCCCGACTGCTTATGAACTCTACAGGGACCTGAGCCCTGTCCAGCCTCTCCTCACCTGAGGGTTCCTCATGAGGCTGGGCGAGGGTGATGGAGCGGCCCAGGAACAGGTGCAGGTCAAGCAGGTAGGGAACCTCATCTGGAGCCACCAAGGAATAGGCTGTGCCACTTCGGCCTGCTCGGGCCACACGACCTGGGGGGCGGGGGCGGAGTTGAGTTTCAGTGGAGGGACCCTAATTCCCTGAGGGTTAGAGCTAGGCCAGGGCCTTTCCTGAACTGCTATCCTCATCTATAGGGTAGGTGGCCAGGGGTGGGCCACCCTGGTGAGAGCAGGGCCAACCACCACTTGTGATCAGTACTCCTACTTTGAGAGGATTTTCCCCCAAAGAATAATCAAGACCGAAAATTGCCACAAAAAGAGGTTTGGGCCAGGGGAAAGGTGACAGGACAGAGGACCAGTCAACAAGATGATGACTACCAGGTGGGAATTATAGCATTGAGGAAAGTGTGAGCACCCGGCCCACCACTTGTTTGTACAATACAGTTTTGCTGGTACACAGCCATGCCCACTCATTTACATATTTCCAATGGGAACTTTCCTCATGATGCAGTAGATTAAATAGCTACAAAGATGGTATAGTTCATCAAAATAAAAATGGTCACTACCCAGCCCTTTACTGAAGATGTGCCACCCACAAAGAATGACATCACAGTAAATGAAAACATCTGTAATGCTATATAGCGACGCAAAAAGCAGCATGTTGGGAAGTAACCCAACATGGTCCTAGCATTGTCTTGAGTAAATTGTAGTGGTCACATTTCAGCTCGATTTGTTGTTTGTAACAGGGTCTATGTAGCTCAGGCTGGCCTTGAACTCCTGATTCTCCTGCTTCTGCATCCTGAGTGCTGTGACCACAGACATTCGCCACTGTGCCCAGCTTTCTTTAATGTGTTAGGAAATACCACATCCCCTCATTTACAGGTTCAGTGGGAGTGGTGTGTCATGTGGCACCTGAAGAATCCCCCTTGGGGCTCTGGAAACCCCCAAGATGGGAGCCAGCTGTCCAGGAAGCATTGGAGACTTGGAGACAGCAGGCAGCTACCAGCAAGGACATATCTGGGACTCATAGTGGGAAACACAGTTCGGGTCTCCTGTAAGCCTGACAGTAAGGGACAGACAGACTCTCAGCAACTGTCCTCATACCACTGACCTCTGCCTGATGGCTGTGCATATAAATCCAACTACACTCAGTCACACAGAGAACATAACCAAGAAACCTTGTGCTCAGCTTCTTCTTTTCCCCATGCATATCTTAATCTACCTGCATTTATGAACACAGTACAAAACTAAGTGTGATCTGTGCAGAGCAATGCCCTAGGTTCCGTCCCTAACACGGAAGGAAAGGGAAGTCTGAGAGCTGAGAACTACCTGTCAGGATCTTTCCAGTAAGCATTGCTTATGGTCTTAGTTTCCCCAAATTCTTAGCTGCCATCATGGCATGGTGGCCTCCCTTTGCCCACCAGGCTCCTCACCCACACGATGCAGGAAGAGCTTGCCCTTGGCAGGAAAGCTATAGTTGATGACGTTGTCCAGCAGTGGGATGTCCAGGCCCCGGGCGGCCAGGTCAGTCACGATGAGGGTGGAACATTTATTGTGTGTGAACTTCGCCAAGTTGATTTTACGGGCTGTCTGGTCCAAAGCACTATAGATGTGGGCGCAGCTCACACCCTGGGCTGTCAGCAACTGTTCAGAGCAAAGGCAGGGAGCTGAGAGGAACCTTGCAGGAGCCAGGGCTGGACTGAAGCTGGGGCACCATGCATAGTGGGTTTGAACCCCAACCCTGCTGGATGGCCTGACTCAGCGTAAATGGAACTTCTACCACCTCCCAACTTTGCAAGGATGTTGGGACATCAAAGGGTACAATAGGTAATGAAAGATGCCTTAAGGATTCTGTGTGACAATGGGCTAATTATTCAGTCTTTCTGTGCCTTCCAGAACGAAGTGGGTTAATACACCATTGAGGACTGAGCCTGAAACACAGGAAGTCCATGAGCGCATCAAACGTGCTCATGTTACTATTTTGGTCTCAGACACTCAGGGTGGAGAGGAAGGCGCTGTTTACATGTCGGGTAAGCGAGACCCAGCCACCCGTGTCCTCCGCAGTGCCTAGGTGTGGCTGCTGGGGTGTGAGACAGCGGCTAGTCAGTGCCTTCCACACTGCTGGGACTCCCCACACCTGCATCTGAGAGTCACACAGGTATGAATTCACAGAAATGGTCAAGGGCACTCAACATCACTAACTTGTGAGCATCATGCCTAGATGCCAGGCACATTACACACTAGAAATCCACCCCAAACAACCCAAGTCCACTGGGAGTTGCTGCAGATGATGTGGACAGAAAGGCAGACAGACCAAGGCCAGCTGGGGTGTGCCGAGAGTAGATGTACCCACACAACTGGCACTGACAGTTCACCATGTATCTGAGATGTCAGTGTGTGAAATGGCCCTTGATAAAAGCCCCACCCAGGCTCACAGCGACTCGGTTGCCGCCCTCTGGTGGCCTCCCTTGGAAGTGCAGCTCTGGGCTCGGGATGAAACAAGACTCTCCATCCCACAGAGCCCCTGCTCACCTCCATGAGGTACTCTGCGTGGTGCTTTGTAGCTACAAACACCACCGTCTGGTCCTGGGGCCGAACAACATTACGCAGCAGGTAGAGAAGCACAGCAGCCTTGGTGTCCTCGCGCACAAGGAGGAAGGAGGTCTACAAGGAGAGGGATGGATGTGGGGTCCTGGCTATAGGCCAGCAGGGCCCATCTGGCCCCAACCCCGGTGAAGAAACACAACACTGCCTCCTCACCTTGAGCTGTTCATTGAGCTTGGTGTCTACATCCAGACGGATGAGCACAGGCTCTGTGAGACCTGTTAGGGTGTGAAGGAGATCGCAGGGGTCACTGAGGGGCGGATCCCAGGCCCTACCCTGAGTCCAGCACCACACCCGACAGGCTCACCTGCCCGAGCAAATTCCACCAGCAGTTTGGGCAGTGTGGCCGAGAACAGCACTGTTTGGTGGCCTCCAGGAAGGCGGCCTATGATCTCCTGTAGCTGTTCAGCAAACCCCATTTCAAAGAGCCTGCAGGGAGTGATGGGCAGGGAGGGTCAGGAGAGGGGCTTCCACCCTAAAGAGCTCGGAACTCTGGCTACCCTCACTCCAGAATCCCTGCCATGTGCAACTGTTATTTTATGTGTGTGTTTCCAGTGCTGGGAATGAACTCAGCCTCACACATCCTAGGCAAGCCCTCATCACTGCATATAGCCCAACACTGACTAAACATTCTCTTCAGTACTAACATGTAAACTTAACTACACAAACACACATTAGGTCTCTCTGGGCAGAGTCATTCTCCTGTGACCTCCCCTTCTCTCTGCTTCCCAGGTCTTGGAGATAACCTTGACCGTTGCTCAAGGGTGTATCTGTGGCCTCACCTGTCCGCTTCATCAAAAACCACATACTCCACACTCTGTAGCTTCAAATTCATCTCCACAGCCACGTGCATCAACCGCCCAGGGGTGGCAATGATTCTAGAAGGGATGGGCCAGCCAGGTCAGCCCGGGCTCGGGACCCCACCATTGCCCTTAGTCCCCCCACACCACCCTGGGAAGGGTTGTCCAGCCAGGTCAGCCCGGGCTCGGGGCCCCACCATTGCCCTCAGTCTCCCCACACCACCCTGGGAAGGGACGTCCAGCCAGGTCAGCCTGGGCTCGGGGCCCCACCATTGCCCTGGGTCCCCCCACACCACCCTGGGAAGGGACGTCCAGCCAGGTCAGCCCGGGCTCGGGGCCCCACCATTGCCCTTGGTCCCCCACACCACCCTGGGAAGGGACCCAGAGGATAGCCTCCCATCAGCACACTCACATGTCAGGGTTCTCGTGCAGGGCAGCAAACTGGTCTTCCATTCTAGGGGGGAAAGCAGGATCAGCCTGATTGGATAGAGCTTTCGAGTCTGTCCCTCCTCTATCACAGCCAGGCGTCCCCACACCTCACCATGGGCCACACACCCCAGCATGAAAGTGAGACATGGCTACTGTGAGGCCAAGGCACTGCCCTAGCAGAGACAGGCTGAAACATAATGGAGACCCTCAAACACTGGCTTCCTCTGTGGCTCCGGACAGTTTGCCGCCAACCCACAGCACCACCTAGTGACTGAGCCTGGAACTACCAACTGCACCTAGAATCCTGATGCCCTCCCTGCTGGCTAAGTGCCTGTTCCTGCCTTCCCCTGAGGCACTCCTGGAGCAGCTAGAGGAATGGGGATCCCTGGCTCCACATAGCCTGGGGAGGCTAGGCTTTCTGACAATCACAGACTACATCTCTTGGTAGAAACTGAAGCAGGACAGACCAACTGCAGCCTGTGCACGGCACCCAGAGAATGAATGAATGACACAACCTGTACAACTAAGGTCTCATTAAACTCCCTGGTCCAACACTAAACACTGAGCTGACAGGTCCTTCTGTCCCTGACCCAGCTTCCACCACATGTCCCCTGACCAGTCTGTCTGAACATGAGGAGAAGCTGCTCAGGCCCACAAGGAAACCCTCGAGGTACAGGGGTGTGCCTGCATGGGGAAGCTGGGACATGAGGTGAGGGGTCCTTACTTGTCCCCACCCAGGATCAAGGCTGTCTTGAGGCCGGTGAACTTGCCCAGCTGTGGAGAGAGGGAGAAGGGGTCAAAGGTGAGGGCCTGCCACCTCAGCCTCCTCACAGCTTCCCCACCAGGCCCTGCTACCCGAACCTCTTTAGTGAATTTCATAGTCTGCAGGGCGAGCTCCCGGGTGGGCGAGAGGATGAGGGCCCGGGCTCCGGTCTGTGCGCTTCGTGCCTTCAGCCGCTCAAACATCGGGAGGAGGAAGCATGCTGTTTTGCCGCTGCCTGTCCGGGCCATGGCCACCACGTCCTTGCCATCCAAGATCACCGGAATGGTCTGACAGACACATATTGGAGGCAGTGTCAGCTCCAGTCCAGCATGGCTGGCCACAGGTGAGCCCCAAGCCTCTAAATATATTCTTACAAAAGCCTGTCAGTGTGTCTCCAGGAATGGGCAACCCAGCTCTGCCTCCCAAGTTGGGTCTCCCATCACTGTGAGCAAGCACTGGGTGATCCCCAGGCACTTGTGAGCTGCCTGGGCAGGATCAGCAAGACAAGAGGCAAAGAACCACATCCAAACCCCAGCTCTGCTGGGCCCAACCTTCTCCTCCATGAAATGACTAAGCTAGGTGGAGCTTCAGCCACAGTGAGGAAAGCCAGCAAGATGACAGCTGGGGCCAGGAACACCTGTCATGCAGCCACTGCTCACTGCTGCCCCAACCCATTTGCTCTCTGGTTCCTTACCTTCCTCTGGATGGGCGTTGGCACCTTGTAGCCCTTTTTCATAATCCCTTTGAACACAGGGTAGCTCAAGCCTGGGAGAGACATGAGAGTGGTCAGGGGCCTAGAGGCAACAGCAGCCACCAGATATAGGACAGGACCATGTTCACCACCCAGAAAGCAACAAATTGAAGGTTGGAGGATTTTAAGACACCAAACTGTGGTAGGGATGCCTCACTTGACCTCTGCGGAAATTCTCTAGCTTCTATTTTTCTGCCTGAGCTATGCACCACACATGGCCTTGAATTTGTGGTCTTTGCCTCTGCCTCTGAGCGCTGGGATCACAGGCATGTGCCATTCTGACAGGTGTGGCAGGGATATTGGGAAATGGGGCCAGTACGGATGGGAGAGTGGCCCTTGGGCTCTTAACAAGACCTGGACTGAGGATCTGGGAGCCAGCAGGGGGCCTAGAGGCCAGTAAACAACTTCAACTGTTTTCTGGTCAACCCTTCATCTTTGCCACACCTACATGTGTGTCTCTGCCCGATCCCCCAATTACCAATGAGAGCCAGCACTCTGATTTAAATCCAAACAGCCATCTAGATGGCATATTTTTAAAGATTCATGTATTTACTTATATATACAGTGTTCTGTGTTTATGTATGCCTGCCCATCAGAGACAGAGCCAGATCTCATTACAGATCTCATTACTGAGGGTTGTGAGCCACTGTATGATTAGGAATTGAACTCAGGACTTCAAGAAGACCAGTCAGTCCTCTTAACCACTGAGCCATCTCTCCAGTCCTAGATTGTTTTTATGAATCAACTATTTGGTTTCTTTAACCCATTCTCTTAGGGCTTCTGTCCTTTGCTTATTGGTTTGTAAGAACTCTTTGCATATTGTAGATGATAACCTTCTGTCTGTCCCATAGGCTGCAGATACCTTTTGTTTTGTTGTGAGACAGGGTCTTCGTATATAGCCATGGAATAGACTACCATGCCCAGCTCCTTTTTAATTGCTATTAAAAGCAACTTGGTGGGTGTCTCAATCCTTGCCCTGGCAGCTAATGCCCCATCAAGGGCAGAGCACTTAAACTGTAATTCCCAGTGTCCTGACACCACTCCATTATCCCATGCCCATCTCTCTTCAAGGCTATCCTTCTGTCTGCCACCTCCTATGCCTGTAGGGGTGGCCCCCTTTCCAGGCCTGCTGTGGAAGACTGTTTCTACTACCTCAGCCTACTTAACACTTACCAGACAGGTAGACGTCAGTACCTAAGCACAATGGGCACAATCACCCCCCCCAACACCCCCTCAGCAGGCTACTCCCCAAGACTCCAGGTACCCAACCTCTTTACCCACCCATGGACTGGAAGCCTCCAGACTTCTTCTTTTTCTTGTTCTGGGCTCGTACCAACTCCCGAGTGTCGGGCTCCACATCTGATATGCACTCCGAGGTAGGGAAGGAGGGCAAGGCTCTGCTGGGGCCCAGCTGTAAGGGAGGAAGGGAGAGTTGGTATCACTCTAGCTCTAAGAGACCACAAGGGTGCAAGGCCTGGAAGCTCACTACTCTCCAACAAACTCTCCTTGGACCAGGCTGGGGCAGAGGTACCAATCAGTCCTGCAGAAAGACTATGGGGCTTGCCAGCTGGGCTCCCTCCCTTACCAGCAGTACAGCCACCTCCCTGAACCTGAGGGCACCCTTCTAGAAACTGAGGTCAAGGGTGTGGGGTGTGTAAAGACCCAGTGGAAAGTATAGGCTTGGCCAAGAGAGATGGATGCTGAAGGTGAAGGACATGTGTACGTGTGTGTGTGTGTGTGTGTGTGTGTGTGTGTGTGTGTGTCTGTCTGTCTGTCTGTCTGTCTGTCTGTCTGTGTCTGTGTACTCGAGCACACATGCCTGTAGTAGCTTGGGTATGCCTCAGGAGTGACCACATCCCTGACTGTCCTGAACTCACTTTGTAGACCAGGCTGGCCTCAAACTTACTGAGACCCACCTATCTCTGCCTCCTGAGTACTAGTATTAAAGACATACACCACTATACTTGGACCTCATTTCCAATTTCTGATTAATTTTTTAAAAACATCAATTTATCTCTTCTTTCCATTTCTTAAGTTTTTGGTTGTGAGCCTTCCTTTAATGGCTGAGCCATCTCTCCAGCCCCTTTCCATTCCTCAAAACTTTTAATCTCAAGCCGGGCGTTGGTGGCGCTCGCCTTTAATCCCAGCACTCAGGAGGCAGAGGCAGGCAGATCTCTGTGAGTTCGAGGCCAGCCTGGTCCCCACACAGAGGTGCAGGATAGGCTCCAAAACTGCACAGAGAAACCCTGTCTCAAAAAACAAAAAAAAAAAAACTTTTAATCTCACTTTACGGCACAGGTTAAGACTGCCTCCCTTCCCACCAAATGTTTTTGTTGTTCTGGTGGTGCCAAGGACGGAACCCTCTACCACTGAACTGCACCCCCTCTTCTTACTCTATTTTTGAGACAAGATCTCACTAAGTTGCCCAGGCTAACCTTGAACTCCTCTTGTAGCCCAGGGTGGCCTTGAACTTGTGATCCTCCTGCCTCAGCTTCCTAAGCAGCTTCGATCACAAGACTGTACCATCAGGCTTGGCCTATTTCTATTCCTTTCTCAATTTCATCTTGAGGCTTATTTCATTATTTTGTCTGTCTCAGAAAAGAACTCTAAGCCTACTATCATGTAGGTATAAATATGAGATGAATCCAGAATCTGTGACTAAAAACCAGAGATTTGGTGGCATATGCCAAATAAAGGTATTTACGATGCCATATTTGGTGGCTACTGAAGTTTCTAACCCAGATAAGCCTCTCCACCATAATGCAGCAATCCAAATCATATCAAATCAAACCAAGTTAGAAAAAGTCCACATTTAATGGACACAACGTTTCTGGATGGCCATCCAATCCCCCCAGAGAGGAGACAGGAAAGAGAGACAGGAAAACCATGAGTCTGTTTTCTGGGGGACAGTTTAAACACCTTGTGGGAGTGGTCTTGAGCATCTCTGGGGGAGGGGCCATCATTTGATGGGCTGAGATGTAGCAGGGTTTGGAGAGTGATAGGGGAGGGGGCTTGGGTGGAACTTGCACCATAACATTCCAGACTCTTTGGGTAGGATGAAGTTCCACCATAACAGCTATTACAATGGACAATACAGACGTAGACCACTTCCACCACCCCCTGGCTATGTCCAGCTTTTTAAATGTTTTGGTGTTTTGCCTGCATAGATTATGTGTATTAAATGTTTTGGTGTTTTGCCTGCATAGATTATGTGTACCATGTACATGCAGTACCCAGGGAGACCAGCAGAGGGTGTTGGATACCTTGGAAATGAGAGAATTGAATCCCAATCTGCTGAAAGGGCAGCCAGTGTTCTTAACCAATGAAAGACCCCTTTAGCCCCTACATCCAGCCTAGTTCCAGGGATCAAATTCATCGCTTACCAAGCAAGAATCTCGACCTCCTAGACCACCTCTCTGGCCTCTCACCCTGTTTTCTGGCTTAAACATAACATACTTTATGGGTCTTTGAATAACTTTTTTTTTTTAAAGACTTTATTTATTAACATTCTGCTTCCATGTACATCTGCACACCAGAAGAGGGCACCAGATCTTATAATGGATGGTTGTGAGCCACCATATGGTTGCTGGGAATTGAACTCAGGACTTCTGGAAGAGCAGTCGGTGCTCTTAACCTCTGAGCCATTTCTCCAGCCCCCATGTATAACTTTTCTGTTTTGTTTTTTTCCTCACAGGATCTCCTGTGCCCAGACTGGTCTTCTGAACCCCCAATCCTTCTGCCTCCATCTTCTAAGGGCTGGGATGACAGGTGTGTGGCGCCACAGTCAGTTCCTTCACTGGATTTCTTTTGATGAAATTCATCAAATAACTTTTAAATTCTAAAACCTTTGAGAGAGGGGGGTCATTGTATAATGTGATGGCACAGACTTGCCATCCCAGCACTTGAGAGGCCGGGGATCAGGAGATCAAAACCATCCTTTGCCCCACAGTGAATCCAAGGCTACTCAGGGATGCACAAGACCCTGTCTGACTCTTTAATATGATGGGTGTTGGTGGCACACGCCTTTAATCCCAGCACTGGTGAGGCAGAGGCAGGCTGACCTCTGTGAGTTCAAGGCCAGCCTGATCTACACAGTGAGACCCTGTCTCAAAACATAACATAACAAATGAATAAATAAATACAAAAACTTAACATATGGCAAATAAATTTCCTGACAATAGTTAAGCCTTGCTCACTGGAATTTTTGTTACTAGTTTATACATTCTTCTTGGGGATCCCCACCTCCTTCATTTGAAGACAATTCTTCCAAGATTATGTGAAAGAGACCCCAGGGATACAGGTAACTGGCAGATCACACACAGAGCTAGCACATAAGGGGCTCTGGGTTTGGTCTTCAACCATGCCAAAACAAAAGAAGGGTGGGGTGGGGAGGGAGGAATGAAAGACACTTTCCCCACTGATTCTAAGTTGACGACTCTGCTTCCCATGCAGTATTCTGGTCATTTCAATGCACAAAGATATTGGTTTTATTTGTTTGTTTGTGGGAGGGGGTAAACCAGCTCAATGGTACAGAGTGGACTTGGCTGCTCTCCCAGCCCTATTTACATCAAGAATGTGACAGACCTTTAATAAGTATGTTTGTGTCTAGGATGGAGGACCTTTTACGTTTTCCTTGTAAAGCAAAATATTCACGATTGGTGGTAGAGCTCTTACCAGCTCATAGCCAAAGGTGGCCTTGAACTCCTGATCCTCTTGCCTCCACCACTCCTACCCGAGATGCTAGGATGACAGGCGTGTGACACAATACCTGCTTTTATGTGATGATAGCGCTCAAAACCCTGCGCTTCGGACATGCTAGGCAAGCGCTCTACCAACTGAGCTACATCCGGAGCCCGCAGTCTGGGTTTTGGTTTGTAAAAAAGTTGAACAACTTCTTTATGTCCCGTAGCCAGTGCAGGGCTCGGCCTCAGCAAAGCCCTTGGTCTGAACCACGTGTGCAGCCTTCTCTTCTTTGACAATCACTACCCGCGCTCTCACTGCCTTTAGCGGTTTCTGCACAACTACTGACCACCTACTGAGTTCAGCGCACTGACTAAGCTGGAGAGGAGAAATGGAGGAATATACCCGCTGTGTACAGGACAGCAGGCTTTTCTGCCCCCTTGGCGCTCAGTCCTGTCTCCCCACGGGCACACACTTGGAACCAGACCATCCCCAGTTTCAATCCTGCTGTCCTTCTCTGACAGTGCTGACGAGACCTGCAAGGCTGAACCACAACAAATGTCCCCAAGTACTACTTTAGTTTATAACCGGCTTCTTTGAGGTCTGGTTCAGCCTTCCTTTACTTTATCTCCTAAGACTGCCCTAACTCTGGCGGACCTTCGCACTTGCACTTTCCATTGGCCGAAGAGTAATTGAGTTCCGCCCCTTGTGGAAGGTACCCAATGAGGGCTCACAATCAATGAGACAGACAAACGGAAGGACGCAGGCTGAGGGCCCCACCAGGGACTCCGTGTTCCTACCTTCCGCGCCCGAGCGTCATCCTCCGCCTGGATCTCGAACTCGCCGTCCTCTGATTCGCTGTCGCGAGCCTGGGAAGCACCAGTCCGGCGCTTCCGCAGCCCCTTCTTCTTCCACGGCGCCATGGCGGCACGCGACCGCGGGCCGGGACCCACGCGTCTGCCGCCAGCCATGCGAGCCGAGAACTCAGACCCGGAAGAGGGCGGGGCCTACAGGACGCACAGACTGCGCGGGGGCGGAGCCTAGGGGGGACGCACGAGCAGCGTCGGGATCAGGCTCCACCCCTAAGGCACGGCCTGAGGGACCAACCAGCAGAGTGAAGGGCGGGGCCTGAATGACCAACCCACTGCGCGGGGACTGAGCCGTAACGTGGCTTCACCAATGGGGCGGGGCCTGAGGGAAATACCAGGGGGTGGAGGAGGGGCCTGAGGGACATACCAACTAGTGGGGGTGAGATCTGAAGAATATACCAACTGAACCTGGATAGAGGCTTAAAGGACGTAACAACTGTGCAAATATCAAGCTCTGAGGGATGCAGCAACTGTACTGGGAGCAGGCTATGAGGGATATACCAACTGAGCGGGTGGAAGGATTTGAAGAATGTACCAACTATGCTGGGCCAGCCCCTGAGAGGCAGGACCTAAGGAAGGAACCAACGAAACGGGGTGTGGCCTGTGGAACGTACCATCTGCACGGGGCGGAGTCTAGGGACGTACCACCTGCGCAAGGGCGGCCTAGCTCTCCTGTTGCCCAGCACGGGATGCGCGTGGGTGCGTGTCGCCGTGGCACTACTGCGCTTGCTGTGCGGTGCGGGGATTTGTGGCGGAGCCGGAGCTTGCTGGCCAGAGGCCCCGGTAGGAAAATCGCCGGGCACGGAGTTCCGGTGATGCCTGCGCTTTCAGCTTTGTAGACTGACTGGTGCATGGCACTACGCTGTTTGGAGCCTGAGTTGTACAGGTCGGGAAAATGAATTTAATATGAGTGACCAAACGGGGCTATTGGCGAGAACTAGAACACACTACATTTGCAAAGTACTTTGCACAAGGTAGGTAGACGTGGGGGCGACAGTGGCTTTGTGAGGCCTTTTTCCCTCCTCCCCCT